TCATGAGAGACACAGAGCACAAGAGAGAGAGAGGCAGAGACACAGGGAGAGGGAGAAGCAGGCTTCATGCAGGGAGCCCGATGTGGGACTCGATCCCGTGTCTCCAGGATCACAACCCAGGCTGAAGGCAGCGCTAAACCGCTGAGCCACCAGGCTTCCCTAAAGATTTAATTTATTTTTTCATTAGAGACACAGTGAGAGAGAGGGGCAAAAACACAGGCAGAGGGAGAAGCAGGCTCCATGCAGGGAGCCTAACATGGGACTTGATCCCGGGCTTCCAGGTTCACACCTTGGGCTGAAGGCGGCGCTAAACCACTGAGCCACCCGGGCTGCCCAATGTGTAACTTATATAACAAAAATAACTACTATATAGGTATGCACAAGGAACTAAAAATCAGTGAGAAAAATACTGCTGAATGGAAAAAAATTCAGAGGATATTAAGAATCCATTCTCAGTGAGGAAATGCAAATGACAAATATGCATATACAATGATGCTAAAGCTTATAGATATATAGGAAAATGTGAATTAAAAAGACAACCTCAGGGGCGCCTGGGTGGCTCAGTTGGTTAAGCATCTGCCTTTGGCTCACGTCATGATCCCAGGGTTGTGAGATTGAGCCCTGCATCAGGCTCCCTGACTGCTTTTCCCTCTCCCTCTGCCCCTCACTCAGTTTCTGTTCTCACTCTCTCTCTCAAATAAATGAAAATCTTTACTTTTAAAAGATTTTATTTATTTATTCATGAGAGATACAGAGAGAACGCGGAGACAGAGGCAGAGGGAGAATCAGGCTCCTTGCAGGGAGCCCGATGTGGGACTTGATCCTGGAACCCTGGGATTACGCCTTGAGCTGAAGGCAAATGCTCAACCACTGAGCCATCCACGAGTCCCAATAAAAATCTTAAAAAAGAGAGGACAACCTCATATCTTTTTTTTTGCCTCTTATATTGGCACTAATTAGTAATTTACAATGTGCATGAGAGCCTGAGAAAAGGGGTCCTGACATGTGCTTGACAGGAATATAAATGACCTGGTGTCTTTGGAGGGCAGTTTGGTGGTATACCTGTTAAATATATAACATTTCATATCCTTCCTTGGGCAGTATAGAGTCATAATATCTCATACCCTTAACTGAACAACTTTATTAATATCAGAATATCCTAAAAGATATCCTTTCACCTGTGGGTAACAGATTTTTCATTATAGCCTTGTTTTTATTAGACCCAGACCCAGAATAATTTTATGTTCATCAGTGAGGTGTGGTGAAATGAAATTAGACAAGTAATAGTGTCACCAAGCTATGGAATAGTATGTAGCAGTTAAAATTAATAAAACATATTTAAATGTAATTGTTTGTGGGTGTGCCTGGGTGGTGCAGTCAGTTAAAGGTCCGACTCTTGGTTTTGGCTCAGGTCCTGATCTCAGGGTTGTGAGATTGAGGCCCCGTGTCAGGCTCTGCACTAAGGGCAGAGTCTGCTTAAGACTCTTGCTTCCTCTCCTTTGCCCCTTTGCCTTATGCATACTCATGCTCTCTCTCTCAAATAAGTAAATAAAAATCTTTAAAAAATAAAGGTACTGGCATGTAGAGCTCTCTGATATATAATTTTAAATGGAAAAAAGTGAGTTGCAAAACAGTATATTTTTTAAAAGATTTTATTCATTTATTTGAGAGAGAGAGAGAGAGCACAAGCAGAGGGAGAACAGAAGCAGACTCCCCCCTGAACAGGGAGCCTGATGAGGAGCCGATCCCAGGATCCTGGGATCATGATCTGAGCCAAAGGTAGACACGTAACTGACTGAGCCACCCAGGTGCCACGCAAAACATTATGTTAACTATAGTCCCATTTGTATATTTTAGTAAGGTATGCATGTATATATGATGTATAGAAAAGCATTTAACACAGCAAATTTATAACAATGGGGAGGTAGAACTGTGCTTTGGATGAGAGTAGTGGAGTTAAAGTGATACTAGTGTTTTTCTGGGTTTGACTTATACTAGAATTATTCTTGTAGAATTTCCATGTAATTACAAAAAATAAACAGCAAATAATAAAATACCCTAAGTGTATTTCCATCAGGATACATAGAATTAAAATTTTCTTTTTATGAACCATACTATAAATCTAAGATAATGTATTTAATCTTTTCTTTTATGTTTCTTCAGTTTTTTTTTTAACCTTTACAGGTACTGCAATAGATAGCCAATAGATATCCTTTGTGAAATATACACATATCTTTGAGAAACTGTGTAGGTATATACACTGGTTAAATTCCTACTAATAGCATTGCTGGGTCACAGAATATGTGTAATATTATATTTACCATTTAATAGATTTTTGCAAACCAAAAAAGGTTGCATCAGAGTGTCGGCCTCCAGCAGAGTACGGGAGTGCCCATTTCCCTGCAAGCCAATCAAAATATTATCAAAATTATATATATATATATTTTTTAATTTATTTATTTTAGAGAGACAGTGTGTGGGAGGGCAGAAGGAGAAGGAAAGGGAGAGAATCTCAAGCAGACACCCCGCTATCATGACCTGAGCCTAAACCAAGAGACAGATGCTCAAGCAACTGAGCCACCCAGGCATCCCTCAAATTTCTATAATTGACAAACTCTTAGCTGAAACAAGGTAAGACATAGTTATTTGGATTTGCATTTCTTTGAAGTTGGTTATCTTTTCATATGTTTATCAGTCATTTGTATTTCATTTCCATGAACAAATCCATTCATGTCTTTGGCACAGTTTTCTTTCTTTTTTTATATATAAATTTATTTTTTATTGGTGTTCAATTTGCCAACATATAGAATAACACCCAGTGCTCATGCCATCAAGTTTGGCACAGTTTTCTATTGGGTTATCACTTTACTGATGATTTGTAAGTTTTTAGATTATTACAAATTAACCACTCTTTATCCTTTGCTTATAGGTTTTGTATTTTACTTTACTAAAGTTTTTAATGTTTATGCAATCAATTTCGGAATCTTTCCCTTTGATGGAGAATATAAATTGGTTATGGGTGATTGAGTTCTGAAAAGTCATTAGTAAGGTTCTTTGGCACTCTGGGCTCCCTGGCTCACTTCCTAGAGGGGCCTCCCCCACACAGGGGCCCCTCACGTGGAGAGCTTCCTGCTAGAGTGTCAGATTTCAGCATTCAAAGGCAGAGGCTGCCTGAAAGATCTATATTTAAATTATGATTCCCTAGCAGGGACAACTGAGTATCTGGGAACTGATTTCTGCATACTTTGTCCCTGAGTTCTGGGATTATTCTGAGGGGCTTGTATGGGTGGTGTAGTGAAATTGTAACAAGGCAGGGAGTGAAAATGAAAAGGCCTCTTTTTCCTGGTGACTGGGAGCCTGTAAACCATGCTTTTTGTGAAGGACATATGACATAAATCTCAGGGGTGTTGCAGTGACTCACAGTCACCCATAGACCCTCACCACTATCTCCACTGGAAGATGCCAAGTGCTAGCTGCTGCTACGGTGACATGTAGTACATGCACAACAGATCCCAGAGATATCTTACCAGTGCGATGATTAAATGAAAATTCCACCTGCTATTCCTCATTTCCACCAGTGGGATAGCAGATGGTCTGTTAAAATTGTGATGAGACCGATTTGATCACATGCCTTTGTAAAATAAATATAAATCCCCTTGAATGGAAAGGAGGCTAGTCTGGGAAGTCACCAATTTTCAGGCCCTGGATTCATCAGCTATTGGGTTTTCATTCAGTCATCCAGGAGTCTTCTGTGAGGAAGTTCTCAGACACCTGACACAAGATCATAGTAATGTTTAGCCAGAACTTCAAAAGGTTGTAAATCACTTGTGAGAAATTGCCAATTTTAGAAAACTGAATGTCTTTCCACAGATTTAGAGATCATATCGAAAAGGTGCTGGTTTTGTTTAGGAAAATTTTGTATATAAATGTCAATAATTACTAGTATGTTTTGAAAACCGAAATAATTTATAGCACCTAATGTGGCACAAAATACTGTGAGCAAATGAGTCTTCTGTTATTTTTATGACCTAGTTTTTAAATGTCGACTGAAAATGACTTCTCTCCATTTTCCGATTACAAAAGCAATGAATGTGGGAACTTGGGGGGCTCAGTAATTGAGCGTCTGCCTTTGGCTCAGGTCTTGATCATGGGGTCCTCGGATTGAGTCCCGCATCAGGGTCCCCACAGGGAGTCTGCTTCTCTCTCTCTCTCTGCCTATGTCTCTGCCTCGCTCTCTCTGTGTCTCTCATGAAGAAATAAATAAAATCTTACAAAACCCCCCACAAAAACAATGAATGGGATGTTAAAAGGGAAAAAAAGAACATTAAGAAAAGAAAGTTAAGCATCTACTTGCCCTTTCTGCTTCCTTTCCTAACAACCCTTCCCTAGCCCATTTTGGTGCAGCAATGTACTTCATGGGGAGTCTTATCACCTAAGAGAGAAAGAGAGGATTCTTCTAAGAAACAGCAGGTAAGGGCAGGTGGCTCGGCAGTTTAGCGCCTGCCTTCAGCCCAGGGCGTAATCCTGGAGACCCGAGATCGAGTCCCACATCGGGCTCCCTGCATGGAGCCTGCTTCTCCCCCTGCCTGTGTCTCTGCCTCTCTCTCTCTCTCTCTCTCTCTCTGAAAAATAAATAAATAAAATATAAAAAAAAGAAAAGAAAAAAGAAAAGAAACAGGAGATAAGACCAGAGCCAAGGCTTGGAGGAGGGTGATATGCAGACCCTCCCTGGGTAACCAGAGAAGGGCAAACCCCAACTGCAAAGCGGTGAGGCCAACTAGTGGGTCCTCAGATTGGAGAGGACGGGAGCTGAGCGACAGGGCGGTGCGCGGAGGGCTCCGGCTCGCAGACCAGAGGGTTGGCGGGGTAGTTGGTGCGTGCGCACGTGGGGGGCAGGGTCCTGTAGAACTCCCCGCAGGCCAGGGTGGGGTGGGAGGGGAGCGAGCGCGTTGGTGACGCGGGGCGCTCACGTGACGTGGAGCTGCAGAGCGACGCAGCCTTCGGTGCAGTCGTCACTCCCGTCTGGGTACCTGCTCCCCGGTGTCCTGCGCCCGGCGGGCTGGCGTCAGGCCCGAGGAAAGCGGAGCAGGTAAGGGCTCCGGGGCCGGTGCGCGAGGCCAGGGCGGCAGCGGTCGGCCAACCCTGGTAGCTGGTTCGGGGATATGGGACGAAGCGGGCTTAAGTTACAGAAGCCTTTGCTGTGATTTTCCTGAGCCTCCTCCCCTTGCCTACGTCTGTGGTGGGGAACCTTGGGCTCCGACGGGGCGGATGGTGGGGGAGGGGGTAGTGTCTCAAGAGAGAAAGGCCGAGATTGAGATGTCCCATCCTCTCTGACTCTAATCGCGCTGACCGCACACGTCCGCCCAGTTTCCTGTTCGTTTCAGTAGAAGGGACCCGCCACCGTGGCGTTTACAGAGAAAATGGTGGGCTTTGGCGACTGGACCATGGAGTTGATGGGGGTGGCGTCTTGGAAGGCAGGGAGGGACGTTTGATAACCGGGATCCTTGGTCCAGAAACGTGAGTATTGGGATCTGTGTCATGGGTGCTGGTCCAAGCACTCAGTGCCTTTCCTCTCTCCTGTCTAATGGACAGTAGTTCCGTGTGGCACTGTTTGGCAAGGCAAGGGAAGAAGGAGAGAAGAAAACTGCACGGGATCTGTGGAGGTTAGTGTGAGCCCAGCTCGGCCTAAGAACAGTTGAAGTTCTGGATGAATTCTCTAGGACAGGAACTTAGGCGCAGCTGTCTGGTTGGGATACGGGATGGGGCTTTAACTAGGGGACTTTCCTTAAACTGCATTTCCTTGCTAAGCTTAGGACTTTTTTCCCACATTTTATTTTATTTTATTTTATTTATTTATTCATGAGAGACACAGAGAGGCAGAGACATAGGCAGAGGGAGAAGCAGGCTCCCTGCAGGGACCAAATGCAGGACTCAATCCCTAGACCCCAGGATCACACCAGGATCACGACCTGAGCCAAAGGCAGAAGCTCAACCACTGAGCCACCCAAGCATCCCTAAGCTTAGGATTTTTTTCTTTTTCTTTTTTTTTTTAATAGTCACACACACAGAGAGAGAGAGAGGCAGAGACATAGGCAGAGGGAGAAGCAAGCTCCATGCACCGGGAGCCCGACGTGGGACTCAATCCCGGGTCTCCAGGATCGCGCCCTGGGCCAAAGGCAGGTGCCAAACCGCTGCGCCACCCAGGGATCCCCTAAGCTTAGGATTTTTAACATAAATTGTAGGTTGAAGACCAATAAAGACAGCACACTTTCCTTTGGATGATTTCCTTTCTCCCTTCAGATACTATTAAGAAAAATACAAATTGTTGTATTCAAGATTATTATTATTATTATTATTATTAATTAGAGATAGCCTTTGCCAGAGGGATAGCGATTTTGCAGAAGAAAAAGCCTTCCCTCACTCCTTGTCTCTTCTTCCAGAGACTCCTAGAGATGGGTTTGAGGGGAAGTAGATGGCAGTAGGCTATGTATGATTCTAGAGTAGGGGATGGAGGCCTCCATCTCTCTCTCCATTTTCCAGTTTTCCAGATTCTCTCACCTGTCTGAGTACCTTGGTGAAGGAATGATGGACTTTTGGGAGAAACCTTAGAATCCTACAGGTGGCTTTAAAATAATTTGCCCCTGTCCCTTCCCTTTTATTTCTCTTGCCTTCCTTTTGCACGCTGCCCATTTCAGTGCTGGGGAAGCCCCAGATTCTGCTTGCCAGAGAATGGGTTTCTAGATCTTGTAAGGCAGGCACTGGGTCCCCGGTTTTATTTTATTTTTAAGAATTTTTAAAAAGATTTTATTTATTTATTCATGAGAGAGAGAGAGAGAGAGGCAGAGACACAGGCAGAGAGAGAAGCAGGCTCCATGCAGGGAGCCTGATGTGGGACTCGACGCCGGAACCCCAAGATCATGCCCTGGGACAAAGGCAGACAGTCACTGAGCCACCCAGGCATTCCTATTTTTTTTTTTAATTTTTAAGGAGATTTTATGTATTTATTCATAAGAGATACAGAGAAAGAGGCAGAGACATAAGCAAAGGGAGAAGAAGTAGGTTCCTCGCAAGGAGCCTGATGCGGACTCCATCCCAGGACTCCAGGATCATGTCCTGAGCCAAAGGCAGACACTAAACCACTGAGCCACCCAGGCGTCCTGGGACCCCGGTTTTAAATGCTGGGATGCCACAAGCACTCAACAGTTATCTTCCCACTTGTCTCTGTTTATTCCTAGGTCTTCTCGTAGGCCTACAGTAGGGCTGTTTACCACTGGAAGCCAGGGAAAGGGGAAGACTGGCTTGGAACCATGAAGGTTGGTTTGAAGGTGGGCAGCACTTGAGGATAACAAGAGGGTGAGCACAGAAGGTGGCTGAGACTTGAGAGGGTCTCAGTGGAGGGTATTTCTGCCCCTCCTGCACTCTACCAGATTTCCACTGTGTTGTTACATCTCCTGCTGATTTCAGGGCAGGAAACAGGAGGAATATTGGGGTACGGGTGGGCCAGAGTGTGAGTGAGAGAAGACTTGAGAGGAGACATCTCAAGATGGGACACATTAGCAAACTGGACATGGGCTCTGGCAAGGCAGGTTTTGGGATCAAGGATCAGGGTGCTTGTCTGTTCTTGGTCTTTAGACTTGGTCTCTGTTACTTCCTGTTTGTTTGCTTGTCCTTAGATCTGCCTGCAGGTCTGCTCTAGGGCTTGAGATTACTGGAAGCAAAGAAACAAGGACGAAATTGCCCCTGATCAGTATAGACTGGTAAGAGGATGGGAACTGCCTGGGTAGAGCCGTAGGGTGGGTTGGTCGTGATCAGTGTGCATCCAGTAGGGTCAGTGTCCAGTCTGGAGTATCCTCAACCTCTCCCTTTCCCGGCCACCTTTCCCACCATCCCTGTCACTTACCCCACACTCTCACTTATATTTTGGTACAGAGAATAGGGTGAACTGAGAGAGATAGAAAGGTAGTTTGATAATATGCCTGTTACATCAAGAACAAAATCTCCACTCCCATCTGTCCCTCTGTCTGTCTGTCTCTCTGTCTCTAGGTCCACAGATCTCATGAGTTAATAAGATCTACTTTAGGGTATATCACCAATCAAGAGAAAGAAAGAGGAGGGAACTGCCTTGATCATTACAGGTTGGTATGAGGCTGGGGACCTTTGGGAGTGGTGACAAGAGTAGGTCCAGTAAAAATCAAGGTCTGAGGGCTTCTCTGTCTTTCCCATTCATAATCAGTCCCCCCACTCATGTTTTCCATTATTCATTTGGTGTAAGGAAATGTGTATGAATGCACCCTAGGGGATAGTTGCTGGGCACTGGGGGAAAATGGGAGGGGAGAAGATAAAAGGGAAGGAGAGAGAGAGAGAGTTTGTTCATCATCCTCTTCTCCCACCATGCACATCATTTCTAAACTTTCCTGTCCTATCTGTATGAGGCACAAAATTAGAAGAGAAATTTTAGTCCATTTCCTTCCTCCACTTCTAGGTCCACCTCCAGTGGCAGCTGTAGTGGCCTTTAAGTGGCTGAAGACCAGCGCCCTCACAGGCCTACACCCAGACCTACACCCTCTTTCCCCATCCTGACTGAGCCCTCATACCTTGTTTGTGCCTTCAGTAGGGGTGATTACATGGGTCGCATTCAGGAAGTGGGCTGGGTGACTGCAGGACTGGTTTTCTGGGCTGGCACCTGCTACTACATTTACAGATTAACCAAAGGAAGAGCCCAGAGCGTGAGGAGACTTGGCAGAAATGGGTCCAGAGTCAAGATGGAGGCTGTGGCTGGGGTGCAGAACCAGACCTTGGCCACGAGTGAAGCCATGGTTGGGATGAAGACTGAGACTAGCCCCAAGGCCAAGACTGGAACAAAAACTGAAGCAGGAGGTAGGGCTGGGGCTGAAGTAGAGATTACCACCACTGTTAAAGCCAGACCCAAAGCCATCTCTCAGGCCAAGACAATGGCTGAGGCAGAGGCAGAGGCAGAGACCCAATCTGAGGCCAAAGCAGTGGTCAGAACAGTGGACATGACAGAGGCAATGGCTCTGGCTGAGGACCAGGTCAAAGCCGGGGAAGTGGCTATGAAAGAGGCCGTAACCCAAACTGACTCTGAGGCTGGGAGAGTAGTCAAAAAAGAGGCTGTGACTCAGACCAAGGATAAAGCTTGGGCACCAGTTGCCAGGGCAGAGACCAAGAAAGAAGTAACGACCCAGACCAAAGTGGAGGCTCGTATACTGGCTGAAAAAGAGACGAACAGAGTAATGGTGACACAGAGTGAGGCCTTAGGATTGATCAGGGAAGTGGCCAAGATGGGTGCCATAAATAAGACTGGAATTGTGGCTGAGACCAAGGAAAGAGCCCTGGAAGGGACTGTGAGTGTGGTCAAGTCTCAGTCTGAAGCCAGGCCTGGTAACATAGTTGATGCTAAGGGAAATCCTAATACCGTGTCCAGGGCAGAAGTTGGAGTGGACATGAGGTCCTGTGCACCATCTCAGGCTGTGACCAAGATCCAGGTCACCAACATGCTTGGTTCTGGGGTTGAGGTCAAGGGGAATCACAAAACCGGGTCTTGGGCAGAGTCTAGGGCAGACACAAGGGTTTCAGTCCAGCCTCAGATTATAGCTAAGACTGAGGCTGAGGCTATGCTTGGGGCAAAGGTTGATTCTGGGGGTAATACCAATGCCATGTGTAAGGCAGGGGCAGGAGCAGATATGAGAATTTCTACACAACCTCAGACTGTGGCCAAGAAACAGGCTGAGGTAGTGTTTGGTGCCAGGGTTGATGACAAGGGAAATACCAATGTCACATCTAAGGCAATGACTGGGGCTAACATGAGGGCTACTGCTCAGACTCAAGCTATAGCCAGTGCTCAGGCTAAGGCTATGCCTGATGCCAGGGTTAAAGGTAGAGGCAATTGCAATGCTATGTCGATAACAGGGGCCAGGGCAAACTTGAAGGCCAATTCCCAGGCTGAGGCCTTGCCTGATGCCAGGATTAAGACCAGAGACAATGCCAATGCCATGTCTAAGATCGGGGCTGGGACAGATGTTGAGCTCTGCACACAGCCTCAGACTCTGGCCGCCATCCAGGTTGATGCATTACCTGATGGCGTGATTAAGGCTAAAGGTAGTGCCAATACCATGTCTAAGGAAGGGCTTGGAACAGACACAAATGCACAGTCTCAGGCTGCCACCAAGAGCCAGGTTGAGACCTTACCTGGTACTAGAGGTAAGGCTAGGAGAAAAGCCAAAAGCAAGTGTAAAGCAGGAGTTGGGATAGAAATGAAAATGTGTGTGCAACCTCAGGTTGGGACCAAGACCCAAGATGATGCTTTACCTGATTCCAGGGTTGATGGCGAGAGTGATCCTAATGCCATTTCTAGGTCAGGGGCTAAGGCAGAACCAAAGACCTGTGGTCAGCCTCAGACTATGGCCAATTCCCAGGGTGAGGCCTTGCCTGGTGTCAAGAATAAGGTCAGGAGCAATCCTAATGCTATGTCTAAGTCAGGAACTGGGCCAGATGCAATGGGCTCTGCCCAGCTCCATGCTGTGACCAATTTCCAGGTTGAAGCCTCACCTAATACTAAGAAAAATGTCAGGGTCAGTCCCAATGCTATGTCTAAGATAGGGACTGGGCCAGATTCAGTATGTTCTTCCCAGCCTAAAACCGATACAACAAGCTTTGCTCAGCCCCAGACTGAGGCCAGTTTCCAGGATGAAGCCTTGTCGGGTACTAAGAATAAGGTCAAGGACAATTCTAGTGTTTTGTCTAAGACAGGGGTTGGGCCAGATACAGTGGGCTCTGCCCAGCTCCAGGTTATGGCCAATGTTCAGGGTGAAGTCTTATCTGATACTAAGGTCAAGGACAATCCCAATGCTGTGTCTAAGGCAGGGACTGGGCCAGATGCTATGTGTTCTGTCCAGGGTGAAACAGATACAACAAGCTCTGCTCAGCCCCAGGCTGTGGCCAATTCCCAAGGTGAAGTCTTTCCTGGTACTAAGAAGAAGGTCAGGGGCAAGTCCAATGCTGTGTCTAAGGCAGGGGCTGGGCCAGGTACAGTGAACTCTGCCCAGCTCCAGGCTGTGGCAAATTCCCAGGGTGAAGTCGTGTCTGGTACTAAGAATAAGGCCAGGGGCAATCCCAGTGCTGTGTCTAAGGCAGAGGCCAGGGCAGATTCAATGGGCTCTGCCCAGCCTCAAACAGATACAACAGACTCTGCCCAGTCCCTGGCCGTGGCCAATTCCCAGGGTAAAACCTTGCCTAGAATCAAGAATAAGGTTAAGGGCAGGTCCAATGCTGTATCTAAGACAGGGGATAGGCCAGATACAGTGGGTTCTGCCCAGCTCCAGGCTGTGGCCAATTCCCAGGGTGAGGCCTTGTCTGGTAATAAGACCAAGGTCAGGGGCAATCCCAATGTTGCGTCTAAGGCAGGGACTGGGTCAGATGCGATGTGTTCTGCCCAAGATGAAACAAATATAATAGGGTTTGCCCCGCCCCAGGCTGTGGCCGGTGCCCAGGGTGAAGTCTCATCTGGTACTAAGAACAAGGTCAGGGGCAATCCCAGTGCTGTGTCTAAGGCAGAAACCAGAGCAGATGCATTGGGCTCTTCTCAGCCTCAAGCAGATACAACAGACTCTGCCCAGTCCCTGGCCATGGCCAATTCCCAGGGTGAAGCATTGAGCAGTATCAAGAATAAGGTTAGGTGCAATCCTAATGCTCTGTCTAAAGCAGGGACTGGGCCAGATACTGTGGGCTCTGCCCAACTCCACGCTGTGGCCACTTCCCAGTGTGAAGCCTTGCCTGGTATGAAGAATAAGGTCAGCAGCAATTCCAATGCTGTGTCTACAGTAGAGGCCAGGACAGATACAATAAGCTTTGCCCAGCTTCAGGTTGAGTCTAATTCCCAGGGTGAAGCCTTGCTTGGTACCAAGAGTAGGGTCCGATGCAATCTTAGTACTTTGTCTAAAGCAGATACTGGGCCAGATACAGTGGGCTCTGCCCAGCCACACACTGTGACCAATTTCCAGGGTGAAGCCTCGTCTGGTACTAAGAGTAAGGTCAGGGGTAATTCCAATGTCATATCTAAGGCAGAGGCCAGGGGAGATATAACAGGCTCTGCCTGGCCCAAGGCTTTGGCCACTTTCCAGGGTGAAGTTTTGCCTTGTACTAAGAATGTCAGGGGCAATCCCAGTACTGTGTCAAAGGCAGAGATTCGGACAGATACAATGGGCTCTGCCCAGCCTCAAACAGATACAACAGGCTCTGTGCAACCCCTGGCTGTGGCTAATTCCCAGCATGAAGTCCTAGCTGATACTAAGAGCAAGGTCAAGGGCAACCCCAGCGATGTGTCTAAAGCAGGGATTGGGCCAGATACAGTGGACTCTGCCCAGCCCCAGGCTGTGGCCAATTCCCAGGGTGAAGCCTTGCCTGGTGTCAAGAATAAGGTCAGAGGCAATCCCAATGCTATGTCTAAGGTAGAGGCCAGAGCAAATACAACAAGCTTTGCCCAGGCTCAGGCTGTGTCTGATTCTCAAGGTGAAACCTTGTCTGGTGCCAGGAATAAGGTCCAGGGTAATGCCAGTGCTGTGTTTAAGGCAGGCACTGGGCCAGATATAATGTGTTCCACTCAGCCTCAAACAGATAAAACAGGAACTGCCCAACCCCAAGCCATGTCTAATTCCCAAGGTGAAGTCTTGCTTGGTGCCAGAAATAAGGTCAGGGACAATCTCAATGCGGTATTTAAGGTGGGGGCTGGGCAAGATACAGTAGGCTCTTTTTCACCCCAGGCTGTGGCCGTTTCTCAGAGTGAGGCCCTCCTTGGTGCCAGAAGTAAGATCAGGGGAAATGCCAATGCTGAGTCTAAAGTAGAGGCTGGGGCACATATGACAGCCTCTGGCCAGCCTCAATCTGTGGCCCATTCCCAGAGTAAGATCATGTCTGAGAAAAAGGACAAGGCTGTCCCCAAGTCTGAAGCAGAAGCCACAGGAGATGAGGCCTATGCAAAGCCCAAGGCTGAGATCATGGCCACTCCTGAGAGTGGGGGTGGGACAGGCACTCAGGCCTGCAGAAAGACTCAGCCTAGGGTTCATGACTATTACTGGAGTGAGATTGGTATTGAGGATTGGATTGCTTCTGAGCGATGGATCAAATTTAGGTTTCAGGCCAGGGATGGATATTGGGAGAATAGCATGTCCTGGGCTGATGATGAGAATGAAGCCAGTATTGAGTCCTGGAGTGGGGCTGGTGATAACTCTGATATGAGGTCCTGGGCTGGGGCTAAGGCTGTGAATGAAGTTGGTTTTCCATCCTGGGCTGCAGCTGGGAACCAGGCCTGTGGGGGCTTTGGTTTGGGAGTCAGGCCACTGAAGAGTCCTGGGCTAGGAGCAAGGCCATTGGGGGTTCTTTGTTAGAGGCTGAGGACATGGCCATTGGAGGATCTTGGGCTAGCACTGGGAACGAGACTATTGGGGAGCCCTGGGCTGGAGGTCAGGCCAGTGGGGTGTCCTGGACTGGGGAACATACCATTGGAGGGTCCTGGACTGGAGCTGAGGAACAGGCCAGTGGAAGGTCTCAGGATGGGGCTGGGATTCAGGCTAATGGAGGGTCCTGGGCTGAAGCTAGAGCTGGGAGTGTGGCTAGTATTGGGTACTGGCCTGGAGATATGGACCAGGCTAGTGCAGGGTACTGGGTTGGGACTGGTGATCTGTATGGTGAATCCAAGCCTAGATTTGAGGATCAGGCCAGTGAAAATGTGTCCTGGGCTGGGGCTGATGGCCAGTCCAGAGGAGGGTCTAGGCTGGGGCCTGAGGACCAGTCTGGTAAAAAGTCCTGGTCTGACACTGCAGACCAAGTCACTGGAGGTTCCAGGCTGAGGCCTGTGGACCAGTCTAGTGGTGGGTCCTGGGCTAGGGCTGGGGAACAGGCCAACAAAGGTTCTAGGCCAGGGTTAGTGGACCAGTCCAGTGTTGGGTCCTGGGCTAGCACCGGGAATCAGGCCAGTGGAGGAGTCTGGGTTGGGACTATGGAACAGTCCAGTAGGGGGTCCTGGGCTGGGACTGGTGATCAGTCTGGTGGTGAGTCCAAGCCTAGATTTGAGGATCTGGCAAACGTAGAAGCATCTTTGGCTAGGGCTGGTGGCCAGGCTGGTGGAGGGCCTATGTTGGGGCCTGAGGACCAGTCCAGTGGAAGATCCTGGGCTGACTCTAGGGACCAAGCCAATGGAGGGATCTGGGCTGTACCTGGGGATCAGGCTGATGGTGGGACAAAGCCTAGATTTGAAGAGCAGGCAAGTGGAAGAGGGTCTTGGACTGATAATGAGGGCCAGGCTGGTGGAGGGCCTAAGCTAGGTCCCAAGGACCAGTCCATTGGAGAATCCCATCCTGGCACTAGGGACCAGGCCAGTGAAGAATGTAGGCTAGGGCCTGAGGATCAGTCCAATGGATGGTACTGTGCTTGCAGTGAGAGTCAGGCCAATGCAAGAGGATCCTGGGGTGGGGCTGGTGGCCAGGCTGTTGGAGGATCTAGACTAGGGCACATGAACCCATCCGGTGATGGGTCCTGGGCTGATAGTGGGAGTCAGGTCAGTGGAAGTTCTTGGGCTGGGGCTGGAGATCAGGCTAGTAGCTGTCCCAAACCTGGAACTGAGGATCAAGCCAGTGGTGGAGGGTTCTGGTTTGGTGCTGAGGACCAGGCTGTTGGAGGGTCTAATCCAGGGCCTGCAAACCAGTCTAGTGGTGGGTCCTGGTCTGGCACTGGGAGTCAGGCCAGTGGAAGGTCCTGGGCTAGGGCTGGGGATCAGGCTGATAGCTGTTCTAAATCTGGATTTCAAGATGCAGCCAGTGGAGAAGGCTCCCAGGCTGGCACTGGGGGTCAGGCTAGTGGAAAAACTTGGGCTGGGTCTAAGACTGGTAGCGAGGCCAGTAGAGGGTCTAGGCTGGGGCCTGAGAACCAGGCAAGTGGAGGGCCCTGGGCTAGGACTGGTGATCACCAGGCCAGGGTAAGACCCCAGATCAGTGCTGACATGGAGGCCAATGAAAGATCCTGGTTTGGGACTGGGAGTGAGACTAGTACAGAGTCCTGGTTCAGGAGAGGGGAAGAGGCTGGGATTGTGTCCAAACCTGGAGGTAAAAATGAGGCCAGTATTGAATCCAGATCAGGGGCTGAAGAAAAGGTCATCATTAGTTCCAGATTTGGGGCTGAGAATAAGGTCAATATTGGGTCCTGGATCAGATCTGAAGAGGCGGCCTGTATGGATTCCTGTGTGGGGGCTGGGGCTGAGGCTGGGGCTGGGACAGAGGTCAGGAAGGAGTCTTGGCTCTGGGATGGAGATGCAGCCACTACAGGGTCTAGGCTTGGGGCTGAGGAAGAGCCTTGCATGGGGTCCTGGACTGTGGATGAGGATGTAGATGAGGATGAGCTAAGTAGAGCATCCAGCCCTGATATTGAGGAAATCAGTTTAAGGTCCTTGTTTTGGGCTGAGAGTGAGAAGAGTAATGAGTACAGATCCAAGAGGGAGAGGAATGTCAGTTTTGAGTGTGGAGCTGGAGATAAGGTCAGCACCAAGAATAAGCTTGAGGCACCAACTACTGGTGGAGTTGATGAAAGGTCTTGGTTCTGGAATGGTAATGAAAACAGAAGTGAGGGCAAATCTGCACCTAAGACTAAAGCCAAAAAGTCAGCCGAGTCAAGAGGCACATACCCATCCATGGTCCCTGGGGCGGGAATGGGGTCATGGGCAGGAGCCATGATCTGGACAGAAATGAAATTTCCACACCCAGATGAGCCCTGCTTCCCACCTGAAGATGAGCTCAGAAAGCAGATGAGGTGTGAGGAGAAAACTCAGCCCTGTACTTGTCGCTGTAAACGTGAAGCTAATATGGATCCACGAGAGCTTGAAAAACTCATTTGCATGATTGAGATGACTGAAGATCCTTCTATTCATGAAATAGCCAATAATGCACTTTATAACAGTCCCGAATATCCATTTTCCCATGAAGTTATTCGTAATGCAGGTAGAATCTCAATTATTGAAAGCTTGCTCAATAATCCCTATCCCAGTGTCAGGCAGAAGGCTTTAAATGCACTGAATAACATCTCAGTGGCTGCAGAAAATCATAGGAAGGTAAAGACATACTTAAACCAAGTATGTGAAGACACGGTCACCTATCCCTTGAATTCAAATGTACAGCTAGCTGGACTAAGACTGATAAAACATTTGACTATTATTAGTGAGTATCAGCATATGGTTACAAATTATATTTCAGAATTTCTTCGTTTGTTAACTGTGGGAAGTGGAGAAACTAAAGACCATATTTTGGGAATGCTTTTGAATTTCTCTAAAAATCCATCCATGACAAAAGATTTGCTCATTGCCAATGCACCCACATCACTGATTAATATCTTTAACAAGAAAGAAACAAAAGAGAATATTCTTAATGCTCTTTCACTATTTGAAAATATAAATTACCACTTTAAAAGAAGAGCAAAAGTATTTACCCAGGACAAGTTCAGTAAAAATTCCCTTTATTTCATATTCCAAAGACCTAAAGCATGTGCCAAGAAACTTCGAGTCCTAGCAGCAGAATACAGTGACCCTGAGGTGAGAGAAAGAGTTGAGCTATTATTAAGTAAACTCTGATTAGTTGTATGTTCCCAAACAAATCTGAGTAATATTTCGGTTTTCCAGTCTGGAAGTAATGCACATCCTAAATTGCATTATAACTTCGAAACTGATGTTACTTGTGATGGTCTATAGCTGGATCACTTTATGAACAACAAACTAATTCAAACTTGTTCTGAAAATACATGTGTTGATTATTACCTTGTCTGAAATGAGATATTTTTAGTATGCTTCATGAGCAGAAACTGACCTGATTCTTCATTAGTAAGGTAATTTTTGGTCCTTTGTGTGGACTTATGTTTATACATTTGAGACTATTTTTATGTTACAAATAAAATTGTGTGTTTGAAGCAGAAAAAAAGAGACACATCTTTGTCCTTGTTTATGATCTATTTCGAAAGGCAAGATGTATGGAAACAAAACTATACTAACAAAACCATGAGCCTCTGATCATGGCCTTCTGAGCAGTGCAGAAGCTTCTGTAGGCCACCATGCTCAGACAAAGTTTTATGGAGGAGGGGGATACTTAGATACACTGGGCTTGAAGGATAGGATAAAAATGGGGTGGGAGGGCATTGGAGGAGGTAAGAGAGGTGGAAAGAAAGGCAAGGAGGTGGGAATCCTGTTCCAGAGAGGAGGCTGGCCCGCCTGCAGTTCCAAGTGTGGGGAGGGAAATGATGGAAAGTAAATCCCTCAGTTTGGGTGAGCCCCTTCATCAAGATCCCTGATTACTAAACCGAGGTCTGAATATTACTCCATTCACCCCTGGGAGACCCCAAAGCCTTCTGTGACCAAAGGAATGAAAATGAAAGGAAGAGGATGTAGCTGATTTGTGTGCAGGATGGATCAGAGTTGGGGTGGGGACAGGAGTGGCCACTGGAGATTGAAACACAAGTTAGGAAGTTACTGCCATGGTCCAGGCACAAGATGATAAAATCATGAGACTTCACTACTGGCCACAAGAAATGGCAAGGGGAAAAAGGAGGTGAGAGATATCTTAGAACAAAGAAGGGATAGAACATATCTTGAGGGCATATGGAGAGGGGTGATTTTATTTTAGGGTCCTGGTGGCATTTAAGAGGAAAACATTCTCTTTCTTGGCCAACTCTGGTGTCTATGTAAGTAAATACATTAGTTATTATTTTGAAATAAGAAAATATAATAGAAGAAAGAACAACATTTAGTGCTTCTATGAAATTGTTTTTAGAAGATTGATTAAGACAGGGCCACTATGGAATCCTTGAGAGTGGTGTTGGCATCAATACTGTAGAAGATCCACCTCTCTCCCACCCCCGAGTAGGATGAGGAGGTGGTGAGCAGGGCACTCTCAAGCTGGGCTGGTGGGAGCATACATTGGTACAGGTCCATTTGGATACATGTTTCAGAAGCCTTTAAGATGTGCGTGCTCTTTGAGCCAGTAATTCCACTTGTAGAAATTCATTTACAGAAAATGATCAAATAACTGGCTTGTATAAAGCTGTACGTCTTCATACTGTTTTGAAGAGAAAAATTGTGAATGACCCAAGTGTTTCAAAATAGGCACTTGGCTGAACAAATTAGGGTGCGTCTACACATTGAAACATCTTGCAGAGACTGAAAATGAGGATGGGCATCTACACTTGTTTACTTAGGAAAAATTCAACATATAATCTTGAGTGAGGAAAATAGGCTGCAAGAGCGCATGCTATACTTTTAAAGTATATATTTAAATTATGGATAAGCTTTGTTATATACTCTGAGAATGTTAATAGTGTCCTCTGGGTGTTAGATTAATGGGTAATTTTGCCTGTTTTTTTACTTATCTGTAGTTTTTGAGTTTTATATAATACACAACAGGAGTTTTTGCATAATTTGCCAAGAGGAAATGGATGGATTTGGGCTAAGAAGGCCTGTCTGTAGTGTTTCAGGGAACTAGAGCAAAAGTATAAATAGAGGCTTCCCTATTGATGTCCAGATATTTCGAAGATATAAATTAGAATTTTAAACATATTTAACTAAAGCTATAAATGTAAATGTTTGAAAATTTAAATCTTATTCACCATTTTAAAAGTAAAACTGCTCTCAATTCTATTATTCAATGGCCACTAAATTTCTAGTGGAAAAAAAATGATGTCACACTTGTGGTAGATTGTGCAATCTGCTGCCTTAATCCTCCTTCAGGAATAAAGATGTTATTATTTAGTTGCTAGGAGTACTGCCAGAAGACAGCCCTCAGCTGTCATCCCTTTTCAGGAATTGCCTCAGCTGGGAAGTCACCTCCCCCAAGGTCATACTCTCTTCCTGGGGTACTTTCTTCCCGTGGCTGATTGACATGGCCTTCTTGCCCCAAAAGGGACAGCTTAACTTCTCCCTCTGTCCAATCGTGATTCCTTCTTTTCCCTTCTACAGATTTTGATCTCAAGAGCATTCCCTAATAAAAGCCCTTCATGTTGAACTCTGAGTCTGCTCTCCAGGAAGCCAATTTACAACAGTTGGTATGAGGAGTAGTTCAGGAAAGCATGCACTGTGGTGAAATTTTGGAAATGAATTACCTTCTACCCAGCTGGCAATGTGGACCCCATCACTGATGGTAGGTGGAGTAGTTTAGCACCTGGAACAGGTGACAGAGGAATTGTTAGAGCTTTCACTGATGGTGAACTGGGATGGCACTGGTGAAAGGGAATGCATTGGCTGGTTCTTTGTAGCAGAATTTTGAGAAATATGTGGGAAATGCTGAGTATAAGGAAGGCCAGTAAATTAGGTAGCTACTTCTATGCTTGATTGACTTTGAGAAAAAAAAATAATGAGATAATGAGAAGCCAAATTATTTTTTTTTTAAATTTTTATTTATTTATGATAGTCACACACAGAGAGAGAGGGAGAGAGAGGCAGAGACACAGGCAGAGGGAGAAGCAGGCTCCATGCACCGGGAGCCCGACGTGGGACTCGATCCCGGGTCTCCAGGATCGCGCCCTGGGCCAAAGGCAGGCGCCAAACCGCTGCGCCACCCAGGGATCCCTGAGAAGCCAAATTAATCAACAAATGCTATATGTGAAACCTGGAGGGTTTCATTTGTAGCATATAAAGAGGCCCTTATTTTTTCCACAGAGAGGGTAGAGAAATTTGAGGCCCAGGCCCAGGATTTATTGAAAGCAAGCCTCAAAGAAAGTTAAAATCCCATCTAAGACAAGACTGCTATGCCAAGATCAGGGCCCTGGTTAGGAAGGAATGGGACCCTGGCACATGGGATGGGGAGTTCTGGATTGACATTCCTAGAAATCTTATATCCTCAGATTTTCCTGGACACCTTGAGCATTCAGAAGTGTCCCACTACTTCCTATTAAGGGCTAGTGCTTTACCTTGCTTGATCATGCAGAGCCCTTTCTGCTGTGAGGTAATGTGTATTTTCCTCAGAATCTGCCCCACTTCCCATCCTGGCCACTGGGCCTTAAAATATAGGGTTAAGTCACAGCATACCTTCACTGGGGATGTGCTGGGCCTAAGAAAGAAGGAAAGGGACTACCCCAAGTAGACACTACAGGACCTAGCCAGCATGTACTAGACTAGCAAGTGCTGAGGGGGAAGGTTGGTGTTGAATTCTGAGGGTCTTGATCAGCGGAGCTGGAATATAAAATCGAATAAGGGAAAATTGTCTTGAGAGTTCTCTCCCAAAATACCTGGGAAAGATCCCAGGAGATCATGTAAACTCACTACTAGTATGGCTTCTTCAAGTATGGGGGAAAAAAAGAATTAAGTGAAGTATAAATGCCAGAGTTGTCATAGCAGATGGGGGAGAAAAGATTAAAGACTCAGGGAAGTAGGAATGATAGAATAAATACACTTGTGTATGTCCAGAAGACTCTCTGGATGATTATGTTCTGCAAGAGGACCCAAAGGGCACAGTATTTGCTAAAACTATAAGGAATGCACTGGTGAGAGGAATGGCAGCATTGCTAAGAAGTTCAGCGGTGGCTTGCCTCTACAGGCCAGGGCTCACAGTAGAAGAGGATGTTAAAGGATGGGAATCACAGATGGAAATGGTGATGGCCTGAAACAAAGAGGCAGGATGATGGCACATAAGCATTAGAATTTGGATGGATGCAAATACCATAATGCACTGCAGGGTCAGAGTGATAGGCAGGGGGGCTTGGTCTGCAGAGAGCTGTGGGGATGCTTAATAGAACACAGTGCTTCTGGTGAATAGGTTAGGAGGTAGTTAGCAGACCATGTGGTCAATATAACACAGTGCCCTGGGGAAAATAAATAGCCAACAATCTGTACTCAAAGTGAACAACCGAAAGAAATCAAAGATGCCCAGGAGTCTGAGGGACAGTGCCTCAATAAAAAAGTCACAATTCCTTGCCCAGTTCTGATCCTAAGTCATGTTTTGAACCAGAGCGCACTGTTTAAAGAAGTTGGAGTGCCCAGGCAGAAGAACCGTACATGTGTGTAGTAATGATTTCTCTAGTCTTTCATTTATGCATGTGACTGTTTGCAGGAAAAAGAGGTATACCCAAACATTTTGAGGATTAATGGACACTGATTATGAGTTGATATACCCAGACCTAAAATGTCTTCATGTCCCCCCTTCTTAGAATAAGGGCAGGATAGTAGCCTGGTTTTAAATGGACTCCTGGCCTGTGTTGGGTTTACAGTGGCTCCACTGGTTCCACAAACCTACCTGCTGCCTATGTTCCTGGTCTCTGAATGTATAAATGGAATAGACGTTTTGGTAGTTGGTACAAACCCTACATTGGTTTCTTGGCCTGTGGAGTCAGAGCTTTGTAGATGAAAAGAAGTTTCTGAAACCGCCCTCACCATCCTTGGCCAAGATAACAAATGAAAATATATAGCATCTTGGGGGAGGATGACAGAAGTTAGTGCCACCTTTGAAGACCTAAAGAATGCTGGGATGTGGTCCCCATCATATCTACTTTCAATGCATCAGTTTGAGCCCCTGCAAAATGTGGACAGAGCCTGGTAGATGACAGACTATTGCAAACTCAACCAAGCAGCCACCGTGTCAGATACAATATCTTACAAAAGCAGAATAACATGACCTTAGGTACCTAGTAATTAGCTATTGATTCAGAAAATGTGGTTTTCTATCCCCATCAGAATAAAATATCAGGAAATATTCATATTCATATGGGACAGACAACAGTATTTATAGTTTTTCCTCAAAGGTCTACTAACTTTCCCATCCTCTATCATATAGTTTGGGAATATCTAGACCATCTGAATACACTTGTCCACTATGTTGATGATATCATGCTAATTGGATCAAAATGAGTAAGAAGTGGTTAGCACGTTGGAAGCCTTGTTAAGA